AAAATAAAATAAACAATAAAAGGTGAATCAAATGGACCATTACGGCAAGGCTGGGATGGTCAATTTGGTAAAGTAAATCCATTGGGCATCTTTCTTTGCCTTTAGACAACAATTCTGATGGCAAAAGAGCCAAATGGGACAGGAAAAAAAAGAACAAAACAAACAAAACAAAAAACTTTAACTGTGATTTTCTGCTTTGTCAGACTTTACTGTGGACCTCTCCTTCATCGGCTGGCAGATGAAGACACGATTAAACAACTACAGAAAACACTGAATGGACAAAAGAAGGAAATATATAAAAATTTAAAGACCATTCTTAATCAAACAACTACTGAGGAGGGGTCCTCAAGTGAGGAAGGATGTTAACAACTGGTGTTATTGGTAACTCTGCACTCAGAAATGTGCAGCTAAAGACTCCAGGAACTATGATCAAATGCATTCCAGGTGCAACAGCACCTGAGGCTGAGGCTAATCTGAGACTGTTGGCTCAAGGTTGATTTGGAAAGATTGTAGTTCACATTGGCAGCAATGATATCCAGTTACAGCAATTGGAGGTCACTAAAATTAGTATTGCATCCGTTTTTAACTTTGCCAGAACAATGTCAGATACTGTAGTTTTCTCTGGTCCCCTCCCCAATGAGACTTTGAGGCTATCTGGTTGGTGTTCAGAAAACAAGGTGGTATTTTTTGATAACTGGCAAATCTTCAGGGAAAACCTGGTCTTATTGAGGAAGATGGCATCCACCCAACTTTGGATGGTGCAGCTCTCCTTTCTAGACATCTGGATGAATTTATCCAGAATTAAAACCAGAAAATAGAGTTAAGGGCTTACATGCAACTCTGAACAGTCCCTCGTCCTGTCACCTACCCCCAAAACCGTGTCCTCACAGAGGCTGTGACTCCATAACACCAAAGAGCCAAAACAGCTAAATGTGGTTTACTGAATATATTATTTTTACAGTAGAAGTTAAGAACACAAAAAAAATGAGTGACGCAGTTTAAGACATCGATGGCTTCCTCTCCTCCTCCCTCCTTTTGTCTTTGGGTAAAGATGATAACATTTTAGAAACTAAAACTAATGCACAAATAAAACACAATCCTACTTCTAAATTAAATACAGGAAGTAGAAAAGAAAAATAGTGAAATAAAGAGCTGTCGGTGTGGTTTTACGTTGTTTTACTCAGTAGTTGAACTGAACCGAATCAAATTTAGCTAATGAGCAGCAGGAATCTGAAGAAAGCAGGAACATGGATTCCAGTCAGGTGTTTAATGAGCAGCTGAGAGAGGAGAGAAGAATTTATCAGGGAAATGAGGCAGACATTAGTAGCCGGTGTTCATTAACCCCACATTGTCTGCACAGGAAGTCATGTACAACTCCCATGCACAACAGCCAATAAGAGCTCAGGCCATAAGACATGCAGGAAAGACCTCGATTTCACCTTCTTTTTATTATTTTGTGTCTACAGTATGACCATGCAGAGGCCCACAAATCTAGAATAATATTGAAATCTCTTTAAAAATGTTAACACCTTTCTCTGTATTCAAACGGACGCAAGGATTGTGTGTTGCAAGGATTTTTCAAAACTTGTAATTGAAGTGCTATTATTTCTAGTTCTCACTGACTTCATATATTGGATTAGTATTTTATGTTAGAATTTCTAGTATAACTTTAGGGCGTTTAGTGATTTAGGTTAGTACGATAATGTACATTGGGTACTATATATGTATTGTCTGTATATAATCTGACGTTTGGGCCAAATGACTATTATAACCAAATAACTTCACAAATCAACTGAAACTGTTTCTCTGTGATTTGAATTTAGTGTTCAGTTTTTTGCTAATCTTTTAGAGCACTTTGTAAAATGTTTTTGAATAAAGTTACACATTAATAATCACTAACAAGACAGTTTGATCTTGTTCCATGTGAACTATCCAGATGAAGCTGGAGGTGAAGAATAAAGCAGTGTGTGTGTGTGTGTGTGTGTGTGTGTGTGTGT